GAATATAAATGTAGTGTGGAGCGATCATAAGGACATTTCCACATTCCGCCTCCCTCAAGCGAGAATATTATTTCTCTGCCTCACGCAATTCATAGCGTTCCTGCACCAATACCTGAGTTAAATTCGACAAAATGGAGTGAATTAATTGTGGGAAGTGGGCAAATTTTTGATGATACAGCTAATTTTAGGGAAGCACTATATAAATATAGCATCGAGCACAAATTTGAATACAAATTTTCAAAGAACAACCCCAATAAAATGATTGTGAAGTGCAATATTGATGGATGCAAGTGGAAGATTACAGCGTATGCAATGGCAAATAATACTACGTGACAACTTTTATTAATAAACATGATCATTCAGTACAAGACAACATACAAGTGTCTCACAAGAATAGGTCTGATTTGGTGGCATCTATAATTGTTGACAATGTTAGGAACAATCAAGACAAAGCACCTAATGATATTCGTAATGACTTCTTTCAAGAATATGGAGTACCATTGAATTATCATCAAGCTTGGAGGGCAAAGGAGAGAGCATTGAATAACATTAGTGGGTCAATACATCAATCATATATATTAATTCCTTGGATATGTAATTGTTTAATGGAAGCTAATCCACAGACAGTTGCCAAGTGGACCTCATCTGCTAACAACCATTTTGAAAAGCTATTCATAGCATATGGGTGCTATATAACTGGATTTTTGCTTGGTTGTGGACCAATTTTATATATTGATGGTTGTCACCTAAGTGACCCATATTTAGGGACACTACTGGCTGCAATGCAAATAATGACTTGTATCCATTTGCTTATGCAATTGTAAATGGCAAGATCTATAAAGACTGGTTGTGGTTCTTGAGGAATATAAAAGAATCGATTGGGTCTGTACAGATATCTATTATTTCTGATCGTCATAATACGATTGTTTGTGCATTGGGAGAAGTATTTGGTGAGTCTTGTCACACTTTTTGTTATAGGCACATAAAAGAAAACTTTAGTACTGAGTTCTCTAAAGTATGTAGTGGACAACGTAGAAGGTGTAAGTAGGAAGCACTAAAGTTACCTGATGTCGTTGCATATTCTCGATTAGATACTGATTTTGACAAGGCAATGGGGAATCTTAGGTCCCTTTCTCCTAAGTTGGCAAGATGGGTTCAGACACAAAGTGATGTTGATAGGTGGGCTATTTCACGCTTTCCATTTAGACGTTGGGACAATATTACCACTAATCTTGTAGAATCTTTCAATGCACGGTTAGTTAAAGAAAGGAGGGATAATGTATATGTTTTGATAAATGAACATTGAGAAAAACTAGCTAAAAAGCTTTATGCTATTAAAGAAGCAATGGGGAAGTGGAAAAATGGGTTTAGACCCAAGATTAAGGCCTTACTTAAGGATCATGTTGCTCGAGCTGAAAATATGATGGTACAACTTTATAGTCCACATCGAATGCTTGTTCGCGTAGGTAATAAAGATTTGAAAGTTAATGTGCTGCTAAGAGAGTGTACTTGCCAAGCCTGACAAATGACAGGAATCCCATGCTCTCATGCTTGTGCTGCAATAAAGAAAATACATGGCAATGTGTACACATATCTTGAAGAGTGTTATTTGTTGTCCTCACAAGAAAAGACTTACATGAATACTATGATCCCAGTAGAAACTCATGATATGCCAAACCTGAATAGGTTGTGCTTTGATGATTATAGGACAAATACCTTTTTACAACCCCCTGTTACAAGCCAACCCCGGGTCAGACCTCAGAAAAAATGTCATGAATCAAAATTCCAGCATAAGTTGCAATATAAATGTTCTCAATGTCACCAATCTGGGCATAATCATGCAAGTTGTACAAATCCTAATCCAACTGAACCATGAAAAAGGTAATAGGTATATATTTTAGTTTTTGATTTAGCATTTTATCATTTACTTGGATTTAAATTTTAATCACTCCATTTTATCAATTGTATGTGCAGGTTTTATGGCAATGGACATAACGTGGAAGAAAAGGTTATTGGTAGCTTCATTGGTATCATAACATTTCTAGTTCGAATTTACTTATTAAAACAGTGACATTGTTGAAATTTCTTATTAAAAATGTAAGGAGATTTGGTTATATTGTCTTTCTTTTGGTATGTATTAAGATAGTGAAAGTGTTCAAATTTTCTCATTAAAATAGAACTACTTCTCTAAAAGAAACACTATATGTTATGGACGTTCAAATCTACTTAGTCAATGAATTTTTGTAACTTTATAATTTAATTAAAAATACATATATGCAATTGTAAAATATTTTCAGCCAACGCATATATTTAAAAGATTTTCACAAGCAAGATTTAATAAATAAATGAAATTAAACATTTAAATGACTAAAAAAATAAATTTTTATATTTATAAAATTAATCAAATTTATAATATGGTAATTGATTTAATAGCATAACAAAAAATATCAGAATATGTATTTTTAATTTTGAATAAAGATATGTTATATGTAATTAAATTATAATTATTAAATAATATTTGTGTTGAGGAGGGCCATTTTGGTCCAAAAATAAGTTAACACTGTGATTTAATGGTTATGGATAAAAGTTGAATATTTAGGGGGGAAAAAGCTTGTGTAATATATATTTTAATTTTAAGAATATTTATAAATATTTTCAAAATAAAAAAGAGATCTCTGTGATCTAAGTAAAAATAATATTAATGTATTTTACTCCTTTCTTTATTATTAAATATAAACAGAATCAAGAGAATTACAGAGCCAACAAATAAAGTGAAAAGGGTAATTTGGTATTTTAAAATTTATATTTTAACACTTGGTCCTTTTAAATAATTCTAATTTTTATGGTCCTTCTTATTAAATATTTTTCTCTTCAGGTTCTTTGGTCTAATTCTCCCTCTCTGTTTTTTTTTTTTTATCTGTTACCAAACTGGTACTTAAGCATGTCCACTTAAGTGCTCTCTTCTTCTTTGTAATTTCCTTAGTTAGGATTGTGAACTTTATGTGTGGCCTGATTTTCTTTTGTGGTTCTTGGTTTTGTGGTTGTTAAGGATCATGTCTGTGCCGTTAAATATGCATCTTTTTATTAGGTTGAAATAAAATTGTCTGTAAATGAAAAAACATTATGTAATAAATTATATGTGGTATAATGAACCCAAGACCCAAATAAGTCAAAATGTGAGACTTTTAAGGTTAATATGTCTTTAAAATTTGAGCGTATTTTGGTTTTACTCTCTCAAATTTCAAACTTGTGGTTTTAGTCTCTAGATAAAATATTAGTCCTTAGAAGTGTAACAATATTAGAATCTACTTAAATATCATAAATGGCATTAAAATGGTAATATAAACTCGCTAGATGCCACCTAACTGGATTTCGTGTGAATAATGTATAGAAGATTTTAAAAAAAAAGATCGGATCTCAAAATGCAGTTGTTTAGCTTCTTGTTTTTTCCTTACTCTTCATACCTTGCGTTTTGAGAACTCAAACCCTATATACAATCATTTTTTGTGCTGCATTTTGAGGACTATTTTTTCTTTTTGTTATTCACACAATTCAGTTAAAATGTCATTTTGTTATTCACACAATATTCACTTAATGAGTCTACATCATTTCTTTAACGTAGTTTACAATTTTTTTAGCAGATTTTAATATCATTACACTTCTATGGACTAAAGCTTTGAGATAGACTAAAACTAAAATCATGAGTTTGAAATTTGATGGATAAAAATCAAAATGAACCCAAATTTCAAGTACCAACAATTATATTAACTCTACTTTTATTATATATATTTGTTTAAAAGCCTGGCAGAAAGGGAAAGGTTTTATTTCTTTTATAGTAACTTTCTGTTTCTTTTGTTTGTCAATGTTGTATACGAGCATTTGATTATTCGACGGTTTAAAAGTAGAGTTAATACAAACTTTAATCTTTTAAATTTACTCTTATTTTGATTTTGGTTTTTCAAGTTTTAAGTCATAGGTTTTGGTTCTTCAAATTTCTTTTCATTTAAAATATTAGTCCCTATAATATAATAAAAACTTGAACTATTTTGGTCTTAAAAAGACTAAAACCTACGGTTTGAAACTTGATGGGCCAAAACTAAAATAAAGACAAATTTAAGGAACTAAAGATTATATTAACCCTTAAAAATACAAGTTAATCACGTCTTCTCCATGGGATAAAGGCCCATTTGTCTACGCTATTAAGCTGATAATTAAGCGGCTTACGTGGATGAATTATGAATGTGGACGAGGACACGTGCATGGGGACGCGGGATGAATTATGAATCTAAGGTGCGAAGCGTCTGAATATACGGCCAACTTTCTGATTTGGCGTCCCAAGCAGCTAAGCCACCGCGCGCCATGTCTACTTTTTCTTATCTCTTGGCGTCCATCAATTGTTGAACTGATTCGTTTGCAGCGACAGGTTTCAGCTTTCAACCCTGAATTCAACTGGAGATATATAATTTCTGTTATTTTGTGGATTTTTTTAATTTAATGCCATTAATTTTCAATTCATTGAAAATTCAAGTTATATTCTTGATCATTCAAATTCCTCATGAACAAGAACCTCAGTAAATCCGACCAAAGGGTCTTTGGTATACACCAAAAATACTTTCACCCAAATCGAAACAAAATATACCTCACATATTTACTTTGTATATCATAAAATCATTTTTAAAATCATAATTTAGTTTCACTCAGACACCCCTCTAATCACGCATTCAAAAGCTAACTCTATATTTACTTACAATTATATATTTGGATATTGAATTTCAATCAATATCTAAACCCATCCAATATCCAAATTTCAAAATACTTGTCAGATCAGAAACTTATGCATATCAACAAGGAAAATAAGTGTTCAAGGACAAGGTTCGTTAATGAATTAGGTACCGATCGATTACTCCGTTTTATCTTCTAACTCGCAATAAGCTGAACTCAGACTGACTCAACAAAGAATAAGAAATACAAATGAATCGACCAATAGAACTGCGACTCCATTTTTTACTTGAACAATGAAAAGAATTTAAAATTGAACATTACTTATCATTGCACATCTGAGTTTGTATTGACAAACACCACTATCGGTAGTAACAATGATCAATATGTACAGTATATTTGATAACTATTATTAGAATATTAACATTAAGCCCCCTTCATTTCAGCAATGGCCACAAAATGAGAGCCGCATACCAATTAGAGTGCATGTGGAAGATTAGTTAAATTTTCGCCAACCAGGGTTTCCTCTGAGCCATTACTGTAGGGAAAGAAAATACCTTAGTCAGCGTAATCAAGCTAATATTTGTGTCAACAAAATGCATTTTTCAAATATTTACCTAAGATAGCTCAGAGCTGACATTCGATAAAGGCAGGTGAAGACCAGAATATGCAAACCGATGGTATAAAAGAAAGCAAAAGTTCGGGCATACCTGCAAGAGATTGTTCATCAAATAACGATGCACAAAATCATACAATCCACAGAAATAAGAATGAAAGAAAGACGCATTTGACATACTATAAACAAACTCCTAGAGCGAGAATAAGAAGTTAAAATAAAATCCTGAGGCAGTATCTACAATACACACAGAATATGGTGGCAATGGCCGCAGGTTTTCTGGGCACAAATCGCTTGCTGCTGGCAGAGTCTGGTAAGGACATGACCAATTGGCAGAGCAAGTACTAGACAATAATTCTACTGAGGTAGATAATGACATACTCAAAGGTAAAACAAATACTAAAGAAGACATCAACAAGAATCAGCTGGAAAGTAAAATTTGAAACGCTAAGGCAGAAGATAAAGACATTGGTTTAGGAAACAACCAGTATCAGTGCGATGAATTGGAGAACCCGTTAAAGAAAATTATGTTATAAATGGTGGCTGATGAAACAGTAAACTGTTGGACATGAGCTCTAAGTGATTAATTACCATTGATTTAAATGTGAGACAGATTATATAGTCACATGGGGACAGGAATATTAAATCATTAGTCTCTGAATTAAATATAGCACAATCATACTTGTTGCCAAGAAGAAAACGTCCACTGCTGAGCGTGATTCTGTCCCTGAATCCTAGTTCTTTGTATCTTTGGTCCCTTTCCTATTTGCACGCGGAAGAGATAAATCAGATCGTATTTGGAAAAAATAATAATAATAATAATAACAAAGATCATTAGTAAATAAAATATAGTGCGAGACAACTAGTTTGTTTGCATGGTTGCCTACAGGCTTAGAATATGATATTTGAACGAAAGACTTCATCATTGGGAGTCCTATAAACTGTTTCACAAGACAAAAAGATGATGCGAAGAATATGGTGTCTCATATAATCGATTTTAACACTTTAGTTTCCTTTAAAGATCTTATCTGGTTTTTTGTTATCTTCAACAAAGTCTTCTATCTCAACATATCCATCAGTAGGGGATTAGTCAGGATTGATGAATCATTAGTTCAAACTGCGAGATATAAACACTTGATGCTTTTCTTAAGGATGGATGGCACCAGTCCACCTTTTTTGAGAATGCTGCAAAAGGATTTATGTCATCTTCGTATATCTTCTTGTATTTAGATTCAACATCTGAAGTGAAACCACTTTCAAGATCTTCCGCATACTGCACGTAAAGATAAATTCAATCAATTCTTTGAAAATATCAGAAATGGGGGAAAAAGAATTTGAAAAAATGTTACATTAAAGTTTAAAATAAACAGAACCATTTAAACAACCTTTTTGGAACCCCTAGAAACCACTTTCTCAGTATTGTAATCTTGGACATAACGAATCTTCCCGTACAGCTTTACGTTATCAGCTTTGGTCTTTTCCAGTTCCACTGTTAGTACTCCAATCTTCTCTTTCAACTGCCTCACTTCCTGTTGAAAATATTAACCAAGTCACATAGTCACATCTATAATATAAAAGTTTGATTCTTGATTGCAATAATGCAAGGATGAATAAATCAGTCATTACTGAAATTGTTTACCTCTTCTGACTCTCGCAAACGTGTTCTAAATCGATCCCTTTGGTTACAAATTACTTTAAGCATTGAGCTCTGGTCCTGCTCCGAGGTTACATGCCTCGGATCTGTAGTCTGATGCAGATAAGGCCGTGTAAGAATTTTTAAAATTTAAATGAACAGATAGGCAAGATAGAAGAAAACTTTCCTTGCAGAACTAATCACTGTGTATGGGAGTATCCAGTAAATATCGGCAAAAAGAATTGTGCTAAATGGTATCTAATTTATTTTAATTTTTTCGCCAAAATACCACCATAAACCTAAATGCATATTTTGTTAACTTTAATGAAAGCAAAATGTACTCCTTTTTAATTTTCTATTTGGGCATATTTGAAGAAAATATTATTTATTATTTTTACATGCACATAATTAAATACAATACATATTTATATGTTTAGGTTAACTGAGGATATTTTAATAAGATATTTAAAATAAGAAGTGTATATTTTGAAAATAGAAAATTTATGTAATTTCAGCAAAATTCAAGGGAAGTTCATGTGATTTGCTAAACTTGATTTGAATTTGAATGTGGGTGGAGCTGTAAGGTTCAACTTCCTAATCATTTAGAAACAGAGACAGCATTCCGTCATGAAAATGACTGGCCCAAAAGCTCAAATTAATAGGGGAACGCGGAAGGCATAAGAATAGTTTTTATTTATACCTCAACAAGATTTTGTCCCCAAAACAGAATTCTCCATTCTGGCATTCTCCAATAGTAAATACCATGAAATAGCCAAATATTATACTGATGTTCCCAGTTAAAATTTCTCTTTACAGTAATACAGAATGATAAATTCTTAGGTATAGGAGTTAGTCCTAATTGTTTAACATATTTGCTTAAAATTGTTCAAATGCAGCAGGAATCCCAAAGACATTTCCCTAAGCTCCAGCAATGTTCTCCTGAACGTTTGTTTCGAAAAGTTTAGAATTTTCTCTACAATTTATATCTAGTCAAAAGAAAAGACATCTAATCTGGCTGTATGATTTGCTTAAATTACATACTAGTAAATAAACTTAGAAAAAATCATATGGAGAATGATTCGGTATCCCGATCAAACAAAATGGGATTAAATTACAAATGGCGTAAGAGAATCAGTTCTTGATCACTGAATGCATCATATTTGATTTCTATGAAAGAGAAATTTACCTCAGTTGCTTCACCCCCACCAGCCTCTGAAAGATCCCAATCATCAGGAAAAGGTCCTTTACGATCCTTAGAATTATAACCCTGTATCAGAAAGGGTATGCTTGGTTTGTAAAAGACAAGCACAATGTAATCCTAATTCGTAAAGGAAATGAAGAAGAATAGAAGCAGCAGATATAGTAAACAAAAATCTAGAGGTAATTGATGCAAACCTTCAATATATCATCTTCCAACTTCTGTATCAATTTTTGTTGTTCGTGAACCTTTGCTGTAAGTTCTGCTATCTTATGTTCTGCTTCCTCCAATAAAGATGTTTTCTCAAAAAGTTTGACCTGAAAATGGCAGGATGACCCCTAAATCAGCAAGAGCGACGACACCCAAAAATAGTCTGATAGGCAAGACTCGGAAAGGAAATTAAAATGGTTACTGGATCACTTAGCCTGGGCAATGTTCAATTGAAAGAATTATGAGACATCCCAATAGTTCTTACCAATTTTGGGAACAACACTAGAAATTCAGTTTTGAGAGAGTTTTTAACCCCAATTTATCATTAAAAATAGGGGAAGGGAGAAGAAGTGAAGAGAGGGGATGGAATCGCTAAATTGTCCTGCTCAAAAGAACCCAAATTCACACCTTCAATTGTGTCAGTTCATGCTCCATTTTCCGATTTTTGTCAAGAAGAAGAGATTCCATCTTGCTCATCTCTTCCCCACTTGTAGCCAGATCCCAGTCTTCAGCCTCAATCGAATTATAACCTACTGCCTGTATGTAGAACCATGAAGAGTTAGATGGCAAATGCAGTATTAGGTGCCACAATGAAAACTCGTGGACATTTTTACATATGTAGCTAACTTAAGCACTAGGAAAGAAGGAGGAAACTAAAATTGCCTGTAGAATTTTCACTTTCTTCTGCAAATCATCAACCATTTTTGCTGTTGGTCTCGCATGAAGCTCTTTCTTCATCTGTTCGAGAGCAGCCTCCTATATCAAAAGGAATAGGAAAGTAGAAGTTAGAGAACACAACTGTAATTCTTGAAAGGTATTTGTCCTGGATGTATAATGCCGAGCATTCATGAGCATTATAGAAAAAACAAGAAAAGAGCATACATAACAAGGTCATAAGCTCACAAAATAGTTAGCGGACCCTGCGCCTTAGCACAGAGCCCAAGGTGAGCCACACTGTCCATAGATATGAATAGTACACCTTTCTACAACTTTCAGTGTGTGTGTGTGTGTGTACATATATATATTGATAACGAATTGACTGAGTTGAGCAGGGAAAGCAAAAATGTGGCAGACGTGTAAATGGATTAATATGCCTTCCTCACAATTTGCTAGTATAGCCAATACTTGCGAAGCAATAACTGTGAGCAGGGATTAGGCACAACCACCTAAAAAATGTGAGATCAAACTTTTCAAGCATTCATAACTTTTGGTGGTTTACAAGGAAAAAAATAATACTTAAACGTGCTGAGTGTCAACCACTCTCCCACTCAATTCACCAAGCATTCTGAGTTATTCTCAGATATGCGAATGTCTCAACTCAGATGCAATGCATCATACCAGACGATGATTGCTAAACAGCAAACATCAGCAAGGGGGAATGAATCAAGAGCCAATTCCCCCCCCCCCCCCCAGAAGAAAAAACCACAAAAACCCATTACCAAAGACCCTGCTCCTTCTTCATGGCCAACATATTGCCACCCGTCCCCCACAATGGATTGAAGAAGGAGAGGCAATCTGATGCTCCATCTAGCTCAATGAGAAAAGAGGAAGGAGAGGGGAAGAGAGAGAGGGGGAGGGAGGGAGGGAGGGAGAGACTCATTGAAAGCATCAGAAGTTTTGGCAGCAAGTGGCTGCTATTGTGGGGCAGGGAGCTTGTAAATGAATTTATATAAGGAAAATGAGTTTTACGGTGGAATTATTTTAAAGTTTTGGTCTGAACAAGAAGAAGAAGCAGCAGATGGCATTGATGAGTGTGAATGTGACGAGTTGCTGTTGCTATTGCTGCTATTTGAAGGCCACACGGTTGTGTGTGAAAAGAGGAGGCTGAGGAGCTTGTTTTGGAAGGTTAAAACAGAGATAATAAGGTAAATGAAGGCTAGCTCCTACAGCAAGAAAATGGAGCGTGTTGATTCAAAGTTCAAAGCTTTATTTACTAGAGAGGGGTGGGGGAATCAAGTGAGAGGAAAGAGAAGGAGAGGAGATGGAATTGAATTGTAGGATTGGGCATAAGAGGAGTGTAGGTTATTTTGGGTTTCCACCTTCTATTTATGTTATTTCTTTGCTTATACTCCCAACATCCTGCCTCCCTTCTTTTCCCACCCCTTTGCTCTTCCCATACACTGCTCCGCATCAGTAGGCTTTAACCTTTTGATAGATCATAATGTGCAAGTTTATTAGACCAGAAAACATGGACTAAGGCAGACTCTTTATCACTTTATGCTGATTTACAAGTACTAGCATAGGGGTTCCAATGTTTGAACTTTGGTGCTGGACTCAAAAGGCTCAAACACTATATCAGAGAACCAGGGAACCTAAAAGCTTGTAACTTAACCCCAGTGTGCTCCCCACTTCAATTTTATGGTTGTCCAGCATAGGAGAAACTTTAACCTACAATGGTCCTGAGTTGCATAATTTTTATTTTTATTGGTGGGGACCTTAATGGACATGTTGGTAAAGACGCAGGACAATTCAGCGGGGCCCATGGTGGTTTTGGTTTTGGGGAGCTTAATAGTGGAGGACAATCTATTCTCGATTTTTCTCTTGCATACGATCTTAAGATTGTCAACACTTGTTTTAAGAAGCGAGAGGAGCATTTAATCACGTATAAAAGTGGTGTCTCAAAATCACAGATTGATTTCTTTTTGGTTAAGAATCTGGACAGAAGATTGTGTACTAATTGCAAAGTGATTCCAGGAGACGGGGTGAGTACCCAACATAGAGTACTTATCCTTGATGTATGTTTTAAGAGTACCAGGCAAAAGTACCATCAAGTGGCAAAACCCAGGATTAAGTGGTGGCAGTTAAAAGGAGAGAAGCGGGAGTTATTCAAAAGGACTCTTTTGAAGGAAGGGATTTGGGAGTTGCAGGGAAATGCAAACATGATGTGGGAAGAGATAGCTACAAGGGTTCGTTTGGTAGCTAAAGCAATTTTGGGAGAATCCAAAGGTCCTGGTCAAAGAGATAAGGAGACTTGGTGGTGGAATAAGAGTGTGCAAGAGAAAGTCAAACAGAAAAAAGTTTGTTTTAAGGCCATACACTTGTGCAATAGTGTAGAGAACCAGGAAAAGTATCAGTTGGCTAAAAAAGAGACAAAGAGAGCAGTGAGCGAAGCACATACTAAAGCTTATGAAGGGTTTTATCAGGAGTTAGGAACAAAGACGGGAGAAAGAAATATTTACAAGATCGCGAAGCAAAGGGAGAGGAAAAAGAGAGATCTGGACCAAGTAAAGTGTATAAAGGATGAAGATGGTAAAGTATTAGTTACTGATGGTGATATTAAGGACAGATGGGAGGCTTACTTTTACAAGTTGTTTAATGAGGGAAGCAATTATGCAACTCAGGACTTGCAGGACTTGCTAATTAACGAAGATGATCAGAATTTGGCTTTCTACCGCAGGATACATATCGGAGAGGTTAAGGCGGCTCTCAAGAAAATGGACAATGGAAAAGCCGTTGGGCCTGATGGTATCCCTATTGAAGTTTGGAAATGTTTGGGCGATGAGGGGGAGGTATGGCTAACCAAGCTTTTTAATGAAATTCTACGCTCTAAAAATATGCCCGATGAGTGGAGGAAAAGCATTTTAGTTCCTATTTACAAGAATAGGATTGAGGTTGGAGACTTTCAAAACTGTGCAAGCTACAGGGGGATAAAACTTATGAGTCATACAATGAAGTTGTGGGAAAAAGTGATAGAATATAGATTGAGGTTGGAGACTTCTATTTCGGAAAACCAATTTGGATTTATGCCAGGGAGATCCACATCGGAAGCAATCTATTTACTAAGGGGGTTAATGGAGAGATATAGAAGTAAAAGAAGAGATTTACATTGGTTTTTATTGACCTGAAAAAGGCTTATGATCGTGTGCCAAGAGAAGTATTGTGGAAGGCTTTGGAAAAGAAAGGTGTACGGGTTGCGTATATCAAAGTCATACAAGATATGTATGAGACGGTAACTACCAGTGTAAGGACGCCTGGGGGGGAGACAAAGGACTTCCCTATTAAGATTGGCCTACATCAAGGATCCTCTCTGAGTCCGTACTTGTTCAACATTGTTCTGGATGTTCTAACTAAACCTGTTCAAGAAAGAATCCCTAAGTCCATGCTCTTCGCGGATGACATAGTTCTTATGGCAGAATCAAAAGAAAAGATTAACACTAGTTTGGAGTTATAGAGAAGGACTTTGGAGTCGAAAGGTTTCCGTTTGAGCAGGAACAAAACAGAATATATGCATTGTGATTTTGGAGGGAGGCAAGGTAATAGGGATTTGGAGGTGAGGATGGGAGAGCAAATTATTCCTCAAGTATCAAAGTTTAAATACCTAGGATCTATTATACAGGAGGATGGGGAAATTGATGGAGACATTTCTTATAGAATACAAGCTGGCTGGTTAAAGTGGAGGAAAGCTACCAGAGTTATTTGCGATAAGAAGGTACCTGAGAAACTTAAAGGAAAATTTTATCGGACTGCTATAAGACCAGTTATGATTTATGGTAGTGAATGTTGGGCAATAAAGGGAAAACAAGAGCACAAAGTCGGAGTAGCAGAAATGAGAATGTTGAGATGGATGTGTGGTCATACAAGAAAAGATAGGATTCGAAATGAAAAAATCAGGACAAGAGTCGGTGTGGCACCTATCCAAGAGAAAATGGTTGAAAATCGCTTAAGATGGTTTGGACATATGCAGAGAAGGCCTTTGGAAGCCCCGGTGAAGAGGGTGGATCAAACAAGATGGAGTCCCATAAAGAAAGGCAGGGGAAGACCGAGAAGAACGTTGAATGAGGTCATTGAACGAGACCTCCTAATTAACAACATATCTAAGGATTGGGTTGTTGACAGAGCACGATGGCGTCGTGTGATTCATGTAGCCGACCCCACCTAGTGGGATAAGGCTTGTTGTTTGTTGTTTGTTGTTTGTTGGTCTTACCATGAGATTTGTGCATACCCAAGAATAAAATGGAAGAAACAAAGTGAAAGAATAGAATATAACGGTTACAAAGTGAAAGAATAGAATATAACGGTTATGTTAGAACATAAGCATTAGGCATCAAAGGAATTGGAGTTAACGCAAGAGATCATCATAAGAAAGGAAGAAACATCACCTTTTCATTGAGCATTGCAGTCAATTTCTTGATATCATTCCTGTGTTCCTCCCTCTCATTTGATAAGGTTGTTTCGATATTGTGCAGTTCCATGTTCAACTCAGAGATCAGCTTCTCTTTGGCATTTAAAGAATTCTCAAGCATTCTATTTGAATCTAAATTGTCACTGCGGAAAAAAAAAAAGGAAAAAAAATGGCAGAAATCAGAAGGCCTGATTAGTTAGGAGCAAAAAAAGGAAGAGTTGGAGACATCTAAAAGTGAATATGCATATGTAGTTAAATAGACAGAAAGATGGACAACAAAAGTCAAACGTGAGCCCACTGAATTGGTTTAATATGATGTGCTCAACCAAACCTTGCAATTTTCTTTCTTTTGGCAACTAATTCATTGTTTGGCTGGCAATGCTTCCATTAACGGAAGACCAGAAAGTTTGGGGATCAAATAAATACTCCTTGATTTTTTTAGTGCAGAAGGAGAAATGTGAGAATCTGTTCATGCAATGCGGCTTTACTCAGATTATTTGGAAGCAACAGCTGAAACTGAAACTTCACTTAATTCCAAGAAAAACAGAAAACTTAAGGCACATATTACATTAATAGTGCTGCTTGACGAAATAATAAAGTAGTTTATCCAGCCAGTAGTTAAAATGTAAATGTTATTCATCTCAGAATAGGAAATATGTGTAAATGTAGCCAGCTGTCCTTTCAGTTCTTGCTTTGTTCCTTTGGGTTTAACAGATTTCATTTATACAGGGGCAAAAAAAGAAAAAGTACAAGGGGAAAAAACAGAGGCACCACCGCATACCTTTTCTTAGTTTCAGTCTCCTCATTTGCTGATTGTAGCTGAGACCGGAGAACTCCCTACATGAACACAGAGAAAGACAGGTACAACAAAGAGAACAAGCGTTATGATAGGAGTTGGTAAATGGTAATGCAATAAAGAAAAATTCATCCAATGCACACTTCTAAAAGTGCATAGATCAGTAATTGATTACACACTATATGGAAAATGTAATCTTATACTGCTCTTCCTTTTACACACACATCTCACCTGAAATGATAAGTAATAATTTATGAAATAATTTGGAGAGAGGTCATCACTTTTTCCAAAAAATCATTTTCGTATAGAAAAAGAAATTTTATCAGAAGTAAGGAAATACAAATATAATTCATTGGTTTTGACAGTAATTTTCTTGCTAAATTCAGAATATTCTTGCATAAAAATTGTCATGCGTTTCTCATTTTCCTTCAACACAGGAAGATTCCTATGTGTTAACTTCATACATACATGGCATATCTTCCACCGTGCTAGACTAGAAAACTAACATTCTAAATTGGCATGTATATCTATTCACAACAGCAGTGGCATGATTTTCAAGAGTGGATTACATCTCCCTCTTCTGACTCACCCATTCAAATTACATGATCCCCTCCTCTATTCAAAAAGATGCTATATTATGCTCCCTTGTAGGAAAAGATGAGCTCCAATGACAACTTCCACCTATTTTTTTAATAATATAACAAGTACCCAATTTGTATTTTCACCAATATATAAAAAGTCAATTTTTTTAAATTTAGATTAAATTAACTTTACAGTATTCATTATAATTAATTTTTAACCAGTCAAATGTTTAATTAAAAAAGAAGTTATTAAACTACCAAAACCAAAACTGTCATTATCCTTCAAAGTCTTTTAAGTCATATTTTAGCTTCAAGGGTGCTGGCCCATATTTTTAGAACACACAGAAGGTTGTGTGGTTTAATCATCTCTGTTGAGGAGGAAACTAATTTAACTTAACCGGATCTTAATATAGAACAAGAACACAGTACTAGAATATTTCATAAAAACTGAAAAAGTAGGAAAGAAAGAAGCAAAACTTATAAGAATTTGGCCATGGAGGTTAAAATTTGATGTGAGTACAAGAATTCGTGCATTTCAAAATCAAAAGAAGGTCTGTGTATGGCACCTTCTCTCTCTCCAAACTAAGAAGTCTCATTTGTGCCCGCTCAACTTCATCCATTAAAAGGTTGACCTCCGATTGCTTAGCAGCCCTCTCTTCATCTGGAAAAGCAGGAACCCAAGACACAATTTCTTTTAAATATAACTTGATAAATTATCATTTGAATACGCAGAAACAAAAAAGTGCTGAAATTAGATTATACTGAATCGTAATGACAGATGTTAGAGATTCGAGTATAAAGTATGTATCCAGAATCAAAACCAAAACTAGCTGCTTACCTGATTGAGCACGGACTTCAAACAACTGGTTTTGTGCAAGTTCATGTAATTTCTGCATATTGGAAACACTTTCTTGAGCTTGCCGCAACTGTTCTTGTAATGATTGTTCTCTGCATGTCAAAAGGGATCATAAATCTATGTAATGCTGTCACCAAAGGGGGGGGGAATCTATGTAATGCCAAGATAGAAAGAGGATGGTTCCAACAGGAGATAAATGATAAAAAGAAGTGCTAGAAAGGCATATACGCAAACTGCAAATAAATGACAGTAATCTCAAACCACTTGTTACAGTTTAAGATACCTCTCTTTTATAGCTTCCAACGTTTTCTGGTTCTCTTCTGCCAGACTCCGTTGCTTAATTTCAACAACTTCTTTTATTTTCTCTTCCATCTGACACATACAAGTTCAATTGTAAACTAACTGATGCCAGGCAGGTATAGTATAGGATCAAATTCAATTGGCATAGAGAGCATCTAGATGTGATCTAGTCGGACTGCATATCATCAGAGAATAAATTCTCAATACAACGATCACAACAAAGATGTTAAATATAATTCGAAGGTAATTTATTATTACTTCAGTGGCATGATAAAAAAGTTGTTAGATATATTTTGAACTGCAATTAAAACTCCAGAAACCCAGCAATCATTGAGTTAGACAATATTCATAATTAGCAGAAGACATTTTGTGGCACTGGCATACATGGCAGAGTTCTTTTTCACAACACAAGCAGTACATTTTCCTTCATCTCCATGCTCATATCATTTAAATGTCATATAACTGGTGTAGATCTCATTCAAACAATTGGTGTTATCAGTGAGAAAATTTTAGTACTGCACTTCAATATAAGCACTGGTGAATTGACGGGGACTAAAATGAAATAGATAATTTGTGGAAGACCAAACAAAACCTGTATGTCAAGGATCGCAATAGGGGTTTTCTCTTAATAGTATGTTCAAAATGTAAATCTCTCTGGGCTTGGCTGCATTTGTAACCGCACCCAAGGCTTATTTACTCTCATAAGGGCCACAATATCAAAATTGGATGGGACACAATTCCGTAGGAAAATAAGAACATAAGCACGCAGGTCACAACACCCCGTGATAGTACAGGCATATGCATGCATACAATACGGAACAGGGGAAAAAGTTAACTGTTAGGTGGGTTCAAAAAATGAAAATCAGATGAAGTAATTATGCAATAGTATTTGCAATATCCAAAACATTAACACCTGCTGTTCTAATTGACGATTTCTTTCTTCAAGTCTTCGTATTGTAGCCTGTTGATTCTTCAAGTGAGTTGCCTCTGTCCTGAATTCTTCAAGCTCAACTTGCATTTTCCGATTTTCAGATTCCAGCTCAGACAATTTGAGATCTTGCTCCTGTACAAAGAAATTATACCAGAATATGAATAACCACATGCAGATATGCACATTACTCCCCAGATAGACATTGAAAGTTGGTGATGCACATAAGCTTCATACATACACGGCAGGACAAATGACAATTGCACAATCAGGCAACATAGTGAATTCTTAGCAGCATATTATCAGAGACCTACGTTTGGCCTCTATCCCAAGCAAACCCATGTACATGTAGGCATTCGATAAAAGATATGCAAAGAGTAAAAGCAAAGACAGCTCACATTGGAAAATATAAATTTGCATATTTCAGTGTTTAAATGTTCACAAATTTGAAAAACGTATTATTGATAGTTTGGATGGAGCTACATCAAAGTAGATGATATGGTTGTCAGAAAAGCATAGAAATGGCATAGCAATTACTGCAAGGATAGATGCTACTGTATAAGGCAGTTATTTTCAGGATGGTTATAAAGATAGTGTGAAAGTTGCCATGATAAATGGTGCTGATAAACAGCAAAGGGAACCTGGCATGGGCATCAATTATTGTGGCATCAGGGTGGAGTTGATCCATTTGGACATTTGATTCAAGATATCAATAGAATACATATAAGAAATTCTGATTTACAACTTGTAGGCATGGACCTGCCAATGACTTTCTTAGCCTTCATGATTCATACAACTGTACCACTTCAGAGAATGCCAGTATTCCTATTTTCCTTGTGTGCAAGAATATAGTTAAATTGTACATCTATGCAAGAAGTAAGCGAGTGTAAACCTCGTTGGTCTCTCCCACGCAACCATATGTACTACATTTCACAACATTACAAAATTTTTATCATGCATATATGATACTAAAAATAGAAACTGCATTGAAATTGACAATTTAAATTCGTTCACATGGGCTACTTAGTGAAATGCTAGAACTCACAGCAATTGATGCAAGAGCCGGATAAGGATCAGGAGCCTCATAAAGCTTTTGATAGATGTTAAGAAAAGCATTTTCTCCAAATTTGGCCCTCTTAGTAAGATTATCCACCTCTTCTTGATAGCCCTTAAGCAAGGTATTAAACAGACCTAACTTTTCCTCAGGCGAAGCTTTCTTAAAATCTGGAAGCAACAGAATTTGCATTCAGTTTACTCAACACCATATAACAAAAGAAAAAGAAACAATCCAGATATATAAAGTGAAGTTAATCCTTGTCCCCTCAAAGAAGAGGGAAAAAAGAATCTCAAATTTCCGCATTATAGGATTGAGGGTGGATTAAGAATGTAACCTGCTCATATTAGGTCTATTCCATTATGTCTATCTTTCCACCATAATTTGGATACAGTAGCTGAAGCATACCTCTAGTGCTCTCTGCAAGCTTCCGCCTATTTTTCTGACTGTTTTCCTGGTTTTCTGCAATCCGGAGCCCTTGTTCATCCAATATAGATTTCTCCTTCTCTAAGTCAAAATCTGTAAAGGAGAGATATTATGCCTTTGGTTCAAAATGGGATTTTGTTGGCGCTAGTGCAGCAATATGTCAAAAAGGTGGATATAAATAACTACGTCAGGTCAAATGCTTGCATCAAAACAAGAAAACGAGAAAAAAAGAGGAACATCAAAATAGAATGGAAGTAAAACAGTTTGAGAGCTTTGGATAACACAGATGCTGCACTTGATATTCCAACTCCAAATTCGTAAAGGCTTGAACTAGCAATCAAAAAGGAAAAAGATGATGGGAAAAATACACGGGCATGTGCAATAAAAATGTTAATAAGTTAATCATTCCTTTCAATTAGATAAGAAACAATATGATTGCAGAAACAAGCCACTTATGTAACAATGTTCATCACAGTATATACATAGACACACATACACATGCAGGGGGAGAGAGGGAGAGAGAGAGAGTACATTCTATGATTAAAATTTTTTATTGACGAAGTGTCAACTCACATCAGTTGAGACTTTCTTAGCATACACTAACGTATGAAATCAACTAAAGATTACAGCTTTCTGCAGTAATCAAAATGAGTATTTCACACTTCATATGCATGACTAAACTTCTGATGCTATGTTCTATGGCGCTTTCTTTCTGTCTGTCTTTCTATTCTTTGTGTGTGTGTGTGTGCACGCGCGTTGCCTGTATAACTTCTCCTCTGCCTGCTGCGGTTAACTGCTCTAAGGATAACTCAGCATAGTATTCATTTAAAACAGTAAGGGAACATTGAAAAAAATAAATAAATAAATATTTGGTATCTCGTTCATTTTCAAAATTGAAAGGGGCATAAACGAGCATCTGTCCTTCTGATAATATCTCTGAACACAGGTGAGAAAGAAGATAACATTGCTAAAATGTTCAAGAAAGGAAGTTAAATACCATACTTATTTCACCATTTACCCTTCATGTGTACACGATCTTTTAGATGCGCGCTATGCCGATTTTACAAAGTAGAAAGGAACTCTGCTAACTTCGTTTGGCATTCAAAAGTGAAGAATGAGTTCAATTGGGTCTGATTAAGATGACTGAAGATTCCATTCCTGAGTAAGCCATCAATTTGGAATTTTATTTTATTTTATTCAAAGTTCAGCAGAATGTCAGGAACTATACGGGAAATATATCCCGAAGTGGAGGGCAAAACCAATTTAGAAAAAGAATCTCATTAAACATTTTACTTAAAAAAAAAAGGGATCTCATTAAACAATCATACTCGTAAACAGCCACAAAGGTTAAGGCTAAGCAAGAACTATTACTCAGCGGCAGTGAGTTCAACGATCCATCCATCCACTGAAATGAACTAAAACGCGTGTAATTGAAGTTGTAAGTCGTGCAGAAAGTTGCAACATGATAATAGTAATAGCCAAGTGAAATTTGGATACCTTTCCAGAAGCTGGAGACAACAGGGATCGGAGATGACGACGAAGATTTGGATTTATCTCTCTCGGATCCAGCTTGCGGAGACTCCATTTCTGAATTTGATCTCTTCTCTTCAGCTTTTACCAAACAGACTTCCTGACGGTAATGCGGGATCAGCAAAACGATGTTAACTTAAACGGGATCTTGTTCAACCGCTGTTCATTCAGTTTTCCGGTAGATATATGGGATCAGAGAGTGCTCTCCTCAGGTTTGGGCTCGTCACGGAACAAGCTTCTTCCTTCATTAGTCATACAGGGGCGGGGTTTTTTTTTGTGAGGTAATAAAATGGAGTCGTTTTGTTGGGTGAGTTGGGTAGCCCAAACTATACTAGGCCTTGTCCTCCTGAATGGGCCTAGGCCTGATGAAACAAGCGTACAAATAAAAACTGATTAGACCTACCAACCGGGTTGGTCTAAGTGGTAAGCGGTTGGTACCACTTAAGCGAGGTCTCGATTTGAGCCTCAGCATATGCAGAAATTCCCGTTGGGAGACTCACCCACCACAGCCAGTATGTGCGACGCGAGTCGGATCCAGATGTAGTCAGAATAAAGCTCCGGTGAACTAGGTGGGCAACCAAAAAAAAAAACTGATTAGAACCTTATGAAAGAAAAAATGATTGCGTAGTGGAGGGGTTTGATCCTAGAAGGTGCCACTTTCTTGTGACTCCAGTCATAGTATTAGGGGAGGCATCACCACATTATAGTGAAGTTGGAAGATTTCTATCTATTAGGCCATAAAAAAAGAGACTTGCTTGTCTTGCTCTTGTACTTATAGGGACAGACCCCAGTGGGTTAGTGTTAGGTGCTTGCCTTTGGATTGTGGATGAGCCTGACCCTTTTTCTAAAATTTTTATACCAAGAAAAATGATTTTTAAGTTTTAAATTAAAATAAATGTAATTTTAGTCCCTTAATTTGTTTTCATTTCAGTTTTGATTTTTTAGTTTCAAATTATAGGTTTTAGCCATTGAAGAATAAAATGATTTAGATTTTTATTGAATTAAATGGACTAATGCTTTGAATGAAAAGAAATTAATGGACTAAGACTTATAATTTCATGGTAACTCTCAACTTGGGCTCAGACTTACTGGGCTATTACCCAAATTGTTAAATCACAGGCCTCTAAAGAAGGCCCTTCTGTGGATCCCTTTTCTTCCTCTCTCCCTCGACTATCTCCTACTAGCGGCTGAGCTGAACGATCTTTCGTCAGTCTACTTCAGGTAATGATCCCCACTCACTCTGGCTTTCTCATATTGTTGAGGTTTCCTTTCACAATCGATGGCGAGACACAATGAGAATCGTACATAGGATTGTTATCACAGCCTCGGCTGTTATGTTGTCTTTTTCTTTCTTTTTACTATTTTGATTTCCGGATTATTGGGAATTAAAGTTAGGTAACTCTACCCACTCAGCGTAGAACAGTAGCTAACCTCCACCTCTTGAGCAGGAGGAGGAGTTTGATGAAGGGGGTTAACCTAGCTTGTTTTGTTGTACTGTTCTTTGATTTTTGAATACGGTTTCTATTCCTAAAAAAGAACAGTTTAGCTGAAATTACTTATTAATTGAATGCGTAATCTCGACCATTTTATTCTCATTTAGTAATGATTTTTCAGTTTTATCTCTGATTATTTGGCATCACAGTAGTATGTCTATAGAGACTGAAAGGTTTGTGATCGTTAAGGAGTATTTGTTCAATTAAAATGGCTGTGTACGTTTTAACTCTTGAACGCGCCAATCTTTGAAGATGCCGTGCTTTCGGTAGAATTGAAGACAAGAATTTAAGATAACTAACGATTTGACATTATAGCTTCAGACGTGCCTGAAATTTGAAATTTGTAATTTTTGAAAATATTAAGGGGCCTCAAATGCTGGATGTTGTGCTTAGATTGATTATTTCCTTTTGTCAAAAAGAAAAAAAGGATTGGTTATTTCCTGAAATGGTCTCGAATTTGTATCTTCCTCTGGCTTTCATCTCCTAGGCTGTCCTAAATCGTCAATTGTTCGCTATGCAGGGTGAGGGTTATGATGGAAGCTGAATCCTGTGATGCCATGCCGTTGAAGCCTCTGGCTAAAGCTACACTTCGTCTTGGTGCAGAATCTTATTCTGTTCAGGCAGACAATGGTTCTCTGTCGGAGCAAATAGTTTCATTGAAAGAGAAAAGCATGGTCATATTGAAGGATTTTATAACAAAGCATAATGCTCCTCAAGATGTGCCTGATGATTTAGCTGAAACCTCATCTTCAGAAGAAGATGGTCCTGAGAAGACGGGCGCGAAGTCTAAGAAGACTAAATTGACATAGCTCTCGTTTTCCTATCTTCTACCCGTAACTTGGTGCATATTCTGCTAGAATCCGCCAGAAAATGTTTCTTAAATATCTCAAATGCAAGTTTTCAAGGGAAAATGTGTAGTTGTTGATTACACTTTTGGCCAAAAGTTTCAGGACTTTCATTGTTTTACTTATTGACTGTTTGGAGTGTCCTGGCATTTTGATGTACAATATAACCATTATTATTTGTTTAACAGAGATAACCACCTATCAGTTTTGATTTCAATGACGCAATGTCGCATAGCGCAAAGTAACTTGCAATCAACTCTGGCAAAAATTTACCTACTGTAATAACAGTATTGTTTCGTTCCTTGTATGTACATTTAGGATGTATCACTCTACACACAACAAACAATTTAACTGTTGGCAGAGGGATTACATTAACCAAAATTGCATTCTCGGTTTTAACTCGTCATACATATTATATACGTATAGGGAATAAACAAGAATATTGTAGCCTGTAGGCTATCGCCGTCACGAATTAGCTTCTCTTTCAAGTGTCACCATGAAAATTCACGGGGATATCAGTCAGGATCAGATGTTGATGGTGGCATCCCAAAGCCTTAAAATTCCATTACGACCGCCGCTGCATATCCTTTCCTCTCCAGGTCAGAACTCATGCATCTTACCTGTATATCACAGTAGGGGCCGTTGTCAATCCAGGAAAACAACCATCGATCAATTTATTCATCTCTAGAGACATTGAATTTCGTTATTGTAAAGTTTACGCCAATGATAAAGGAACTGAGGACCGTAAATCAGAATTACAAATATTTTGCTGACATATGTAGCACCTTTCAGAGGCAACGATAAGCATTCTCTTTAGGCGACTTGCCCAATTAAAATATCACAGGTTTACGAAAGCAAGTAAATTGACAATTAATGGCAACAATAACAGTTGCAAGTACATCTGAGATATTCAAAGAATTTGCGCATGAAATATACTAAGGCCTCGTTTGTAGTTTACAAACGACTACAAACGAGGTCTTATAATTAAGACTGGAGGTAATATAATAAATAAGGAAATAAATAAATAAACAAATAAGTTCAGAAAGAAAGAAGCAAGAGACAATGCCTACCATAGCAACTGTTTTTGTGGTGTTCTGTAAAGCTGCCAACCACCCATCTTGGAACCAGCACCAGAAAAGCCACCAAGTCTTTCCTGAGGACGATGGAAGAGAGACATAGAATTATCTGCAGCTCCAATTCCTAGCCAGTGTTCCCCAGCATTGATAGACATTATGGCAGCATTGTGAATTGTTACATTTTTGACACACTTAATACCTCCTGCACATGCAAAGTGCAACATCACCAAGGGGTACCGGTTGCCTTTCTTAAAAAATTGCATGTACATTACACACTATTTTCAATTGAATTAATCATTACTATTAATAAATATAAGTTAGCTAGCTCAATATCTTTATACGATATGGTGGTAAGATCAGGCCATAAAGGCGGATTAAAATGCCATGACAATGATATATGAATATTTAGTTTCATAAATAACTGCAGGGTAGCATTAGTCACCAAATGAATCTTTGAGCAGGTGATTGAGCACAAACACTAAATACTTTGCAGTTCAGTATGCTACCGAACAGATAGTACCTAAGAAACCAATGAAATAACAAGTCCACCTACTCATTACAAAAAGGGTCCTTCTGTTGATTACTGGGATTGCTAATATGCTAATTGTGCAACATTCGAACATTTAAGTTTTGCATGTGTCCAACAAAAGTGCCATCACATTTCACGTATGGCTACGAGTTTTTGAAGCGTCATGCTTAATAAAATATCATTGCAACTGGAGACTGAGACATGCTCGCGGATTTTAGACAAATTATGGGAAATCACCCCCCCCCCAATGTCCTTTTCTATGATATTCCCTAACTAAACAACATCTTTCAATTAATGAATTTCATTAAGGGTAATTTTTAAATGCTAAAAGCATTAACTAATTTTATTTGAATTCCTTAATCTACGTAAAATTGTTAATAGGTCTATAATAAGAACCAGAGAGAGTAATTCTAAATATTTTTCTTTTTAAATATCCCTAGCATTGCGGGGAGCAAATTATTCTCCTGAATAATGATGATGCTTACATAAAAAATCTTGCAAAAATGAAATCTTAAATGAAATACAACCGTACACGGCATGCAAATTAAACAGAAAGTAAATATCAAGAACGCAAAATAGCTGAACAAGAAACAACATGAGATGGCCAAAGCTCTTACCCTCATCATTTTCCCAGAATCTTACAAGGCCATCGGTTGACCCTGTAAACGAACATTTTAACCGTTTAATTAGCACCTGAGATATAAGCACAGAACAAGAAACTTCTCTCACCTAAAATTCTCCCCAAAACCATCCCCGTCCCCCAGAAAAAGATCAAACAATAGCATGGGCAAGAGTCTGAGATCGCAGACCTGTTATAATTCCTTTGTCCAGAGGAGAATACTCAACACACAATATTGGCCCCGCATGGCATGCTAGAACAGCATCACATGTTCCTCGGGAAACAGACCATATTCTTGCTGTCCAATCATCACTACCAGTAATTAAAGTATCACTGGACATCCTTATGGACCTGCATTTTTAATATAGGATCAGACCTTCACCTTTATAAATTTATAAAAATTTACAGTGGGAAATGAGTTATAAGTATAAAATCTATGTTCCTTTGTTTACCGTATCCATTGTGTATGTCCTAAGAGCTTATGCATCTGCCTACCCGCACGGATATCCCATATGTTAGCAATCCTGTGATGCAAGCGAGAAATTAGATCATAGCACAACAAATCAATGACAAAAATACCGGAATCATTGTGGAAATTCCCAAAATAAATTAGCATTAATGTATTTATTTATTTATTTCCTTTTTCTATTTCTCCTTATTAATGTGTAAATATTCAAGATAGACTTATATTGTTTCTTCCGAGTTTCTCACCGAGATAAGTACTCTGATTCAGTGTAAATAGATTATATATTGTAAACAACATGGATCAATAATAAAACAAGATTTTTGGACCTCCCTACTCAGAATCATACATAAAAACCAGCATCTAATATTGAATTTTATAAACATACGCATCTCTTCCAGCAGCAACCAGGACTCCTGCATTGTCATCATATTCCATGCATAGGACGGCACTAGAGCAACGACCAACTGTTGCAACACAAGTATCAGTTCTAACATCCCACATCTTCACAGTGCCATCATGTGATGCACTTAGAACACGCTCTCCTGAGAGCATGCGTACACAGCTGACCTACAAAGTTGGCTGTCCAAAAATTAGTTTCAATGTCCAAACCATATGTTTCATGACTCATTTACAAAATTGTCACTCTACATTGTTATTATAGAACACAGCCCAGAAATCTTTGAAAAGTAGTTAATATACCTGCGCATCATGGCCTTTAAGCTCCTCTAGAAGCTGAGTTGTTTGCTTGTCCCACACTAAAACAGAGTGATCATCAGATCCTGAAACTACTTTCCCCCTGTCTGAACTTATGGCCCGAATAGTCCTGCATTTAATGTTGAGCTTGTCGCATATGAGGGTTCATAGAGTAAAGTGTAAAAAGGAAAAAAAAAGTTCACAAACAAGGAGGACATGCATGCATATGCAGAGGGGGAGGGGCGACCTTGTGTGTCCTTTTAAAGTTGCCCTGAGTTCAGAACCTCGAAGACTAGGATCCCAGATCTTGACCTGCATTAGTGTTTAAGCAAAACAAACACCAATGAATTTTGATTATTAGAAGGGTTAATTCATCTTATTAAAAGAAAACAGAAATTGGCACTTACTGAACAGTCAGTGCTTCCACTGATGAAGAAGCCAGCATCTTCACGATCACCCACCAAATCCCATACCTCTCGCTTGGTAACACAATGAAGAGCAGTAATGGCCCCATTATGACCCCTAAGCATGCGAACGTTGGTTTGAAGCTTCTTCTGCCCAGTAGTTGATAGATCTTGTTTGCGAGAAGTCTCATTCTCATTTGCTGCTAAACACGTAAAATACTTATTCAGTCACATTGCTAATGCTACTTAAGGATCAAGACAAAATAATCATACTAGAAAATAATGCGTCCAGTGCCAAAAGCCCTTTAGTCACAAGCTTGAGATGATAGCTGAATCCCAACCAATAGCTTCATTGCTACCACTAAAATGCCTTCTTGCACAAGGGCCCTTTCATTCCAAAGCATTAATAACATAAATTATGCTGAACATTTTAGTACAATTTTGGAGCTGTGGAGAAACCTAAATAAATAGAACTCCTAGTGGTTCAAGAGTTTATCTACAGTCTTAAAGAATGTAATTGTCTAGGAGTTAGTTATCCCTTATCATTATCAACAGCGGTTTATCTTGTAGTTAATCTCCATCTTCAGTGTGATATAAATACACAAGGAGCTGCCACAGTGACATGAGTGTCAGTGCAAGCCCTCATACACCATATTTTGCCCAAAAATCTTAAGCTGTTATTCAAAGGCCCGTGAATAATTTTGTCCCTAACGTAATGGTATCAAAAGGAAGTACCCCCATCTGAAGTCCATCTACGAACACGGCTGAATGAGCTAGATCTCGATGTTGTATCACGGCTGAACATGCTTTGCACCCAGCTTCTTCCAGTTGCCTCAGCAGGTTGCTGGTGCTCATCTTTTGCATCTTTTGTATGCGGGGATGGCAATGCAAGGGATGCCAAAGACTGTGTTTTCATAGAGGTGATTCCCCAATAACCACTACGTAGTTGCTGGATGTGTGACAAGAACCCTCTAAGTTTTATCTGAAACAATCATACAAGAAATATTTCAGCATATTTCACAAACTGAGCCAAAGTTTCATCAACAAAAACATTAAAACGAATGGACTAGCTAATACAAATAAACAATATCATCTCAAAAAATGAAACAGAACAGAGAGAGACACACACACACAGAGAGCTGAAAGGAGGAAGATCAAGGGGGAAAAAAAAAGTCATGGAGACTCCATAGCAAGGAGTAAATAAGAAGATAAAGTCAAAAGCCATTAAGATAATGACCAATTAAAACAAGGTTGGGCAATGTTAAGCTCAAAGTTGTTCCCACTTCCCAGCTTCAGAAGAGTGTTGAGATTC